CAGTGTTTCCACCAGGCGCCACCCCTGGCCGGAGGGGAACATATTCTGATTTTGGCCTTGTCTGCTTTGAGCGTAGGTTCTTCAGTTTAGGAGGCCATCTTCAGGCAGATTGTGTTGAAGTGTCTCAAGAGCGACAGAAAATAAGTAGAACCTCTACTGCCACCACCTGTAGCACCCAAACGCACCCCATCATCTTGAGAAAAACCCTCATATTCCTGAGTAAGCCATCCTAAGACCGAGTAAGCCCTCATAAGACTGTCATCATATGAGCCATAATCTAAACTCCTGGTATCCCCCTTAATTACCCCGATAGTAGTTCCCTATATATCCCCTATATAAGTCTGTTTAGGGAGTTTAGACTATGGCTCATATAGTTTGCTGCAGGGCCTTCACTAGGCTTTCGATGGCAGGCGCTAGCCGCTCCCAGGGCACCTCGGCAGTGAGCTTCAGTCTGCGGATCTGTCAAGAGGGCTGTACCCTAGACACCCAATGCATATCTGGGGATTATGGATCACAAATTCTGAGAAGCTCCCATCTTGGATTGACCGGGACCTTGGCGCCTAAGGTTACAGCGGGAAAAGAGCCTTTGCAGGAGCAGCGAAAGCAGAGGCTAAAACAGTCATGAGAGCAATGTCGATGCGAAGTAGTGTTGTTACAGCTACCACTTGTATGGCCGCTGCTACTGCTACTGCTACTGCTGCTGCTAGGGCTACTGCTACTGCTACTGCCACTACTGCTGCTACCACTACTGCTGCTGCTGCTACTGCTACGGCTACTGCTGCTGCTACTACTACTCCTCCTCCTACTAGTACTTCTACTCCTCCCACCACCACCGCCACTACTGCTGCAGCTGCAACTGCGCCACTGCCGCTGCTACCACCACCACCACCACCACCACCACCACCACCACCACGACCACAACCCCGCTAGTACTTGTACTTGTGAAAGTAGTAATTAGTAGTCCTCAAAGGTCAAAAGTAAAGTCATCCACAAATGATTTACCATTATCTGAGATTTAAGCGAGCCTTAGCGTTCGCAACCTTGATCCTCTGCCCTAATGTAGACCCCTGATTAAGCTCTACCTTATCTGCAGATGTCCCCGGACATTAAACCAACCACCCTGAGCCCGACGCAACATGTTTGTTTGGATAGCTGGGTGTGCGGGCCCGGCGCCGCTTGACTACGCAAATACCAGCAGCTTTGCATCGAGAGCAGCCCAAAAAGTGATAAGATCATCTGGGGAGACCAAAGAGCAACTCACTTCTCTCCTGTTTTGGCAAACGTTTAAAGAGTTTTTTGTTGCAACTTCAGAACAAGTCTACAGATCTAAATCCCAGAGCGCGAAGTGCAAAGCTTAAATTCCAACCGATCCGCACACTTCCAAACCTACAACCCATCGCTGCCAAACCCCCAAAACCCCAGCCCGAACATGCGGCCCCTAATACACGGGGGTTTGGAGGGGCTCTTATGGGGGGAGCCCATATCAACCCCATGACACACCCTGTTTAACGCCCAAGTACCATGGCAGCCATGAGCTGGCCGCCAGTGCCATCCAAGTCTGGGGCGCCTTCCGGGAGGGTTACCGTCCACTGCCTTTTAGGACTTACGTGGTTCTCGGAGAGTTGTATGAAGCTACCGCGCCTGTTGACAGAGTTGTAAATGCCAAGATTTGGAGAAGGCTTATAGTCTCCTGAGGTTCACTTTCCTCGCGGCAAATAACCTGTGGAGGGCATCTGTAACTTGCAAGCCGTGTTTGGACTCTACATAAAACATGCCATGTGGATGCAAAGTCACGAACACGTCTCAAAGACACACCCTTCGCCGGACAACAGAAAAGTCCCCATGGCCTGCTACCTCAACGGGGGTGAGCTGGTCCTTGAGGATGTTGTTCCTTGATTGAGCGCAGTCTTTGGAGTAGCAGCTACTTTGCATAATGTTCCATCTTGCCATCACGTCTTAGAGTTTTCCAGGGTTCCGCAAAATTAGGATCCTACTTACTGGTGATAGAAACAGCTAGTGGCAGATATCTAGTTGCTACTGTTCTTGCCGAAGCTACTGGTTAGTTGCTAGATGTTGCTGGTGTTCTTCAAGAGGCCGCGGCAGTCTTGGGGCTCATGCCGCGCTGCCAGCAGCAGATGAAAGGAAATGAAGGGGTCGGGCTCATGGCTTGTTCTCAGACGGCACACACTGCATTCTATTTATCTATCCTCAATCTTGAGCCTGCGAAGCAGGAAAATCCCCTTGCCCGTCCTCTAACGATTACCATTCCATCAGCATGACCTGTCGTGTCAAGCCGAAGTGGTCAATCCTCTAAGCAATTAAACGCTGAAGACTGATCCCTGTACATACAGCCGGGAACGAGCAGCCCTAAAGCACAAAACACCCAAAGCCCGTGCCGAGCTGCCGGATGTTCTCGTCTTCGATCCGCAACAGCTTGTTGAGCATGGCTCTGACCCTGGAGGCTTTCTTCTCCAGCTCCTTTCAGTTTAGGGCTTTGGGTTTAGGATCTTCCCCTCAGGTTCCAGGTGAAGGATTTCCACATTGGTTTTGGGCCTTGTCACCTGGATGCGCGGAAAGCAGGGCAAGGTTCAGTGCCAATACGAGGCAATGAAGCAAAAGGTTGGACCGGCTACTCGGAGAACAGCCTGGGTAGCAGGTCTTTCCGAGAGTTTTTCTTGCTACGTAAGGCCGTGGGCTCCGGTGAAGTTTCGTAGTGTGGCCGTGGGGCACTTGCTATCTGAAATCCAGCTACTATCACCGGGTCACATCAACAGCACTGCACTTTCTGTTTAGTTGTGGGCTTTGGGTCCTTTGAGGTGTTCTCCGAGGGTGGGTAGGAGGCACCACAAAATACAGTAGCCAATTGCGTGGAATCTTGAGCGTTATAGAGGTCATAATCTAGAGATCTATTTGGGTCTATGGATTAGCTTAGGGTGTTTTAGGGCTTGGGTGTTCTTCTCGGGATGCTATGTGGCATTGCTGTATGTAGGGAATGTATGGGGGCTGCTCGCGACCCAAAAGAAGAGGTTTGACGTGCCGCGCTGCCTTCAAAGCGTCGGGCTGCCTGTCCTGCCTTTTCAACCTTCCCGAAACACACAGCCAACGTTGGCCTTTATGGGGCCACAAAGAAAGTTACCTAGGATATGCAGGAAATTATCCGCCAAAGGTTGTTTTGTGACCCACCCATGAACTTTTGCAGTGGTTCCAGAGGTGGTTTTCAGGGTAAGGGTTTGGGTTTACTTTACGGGAATGAGTCAGATTTGGGAACTGTTGGATTTTGCCCGCCGCCTGGCCATGTACAACATGCAGGGACACCGACGACATCACTACCAACGCCGCCG